GTTTGTGAATAATTTACACAGTGTTGTTGTATGTATGTTGAACTTATTTCGCACCGTATGTAGCCAACTGTGCTAGTCGGAGGTGCGGGGAAAGACAACAAACTAAACAAACACAAAAACTGTTCTAAGCAATAAAAGCTGTTCCAGTAAGGGTTGGGGGGTGGAGGGTGCAGTGGTTAGCGCACTAAGCCCGGCGTCCTGAGATTGATTTCTGGCTGGCTTCCACTCGGCCATCTCACACCTGTCAACCCCTTATCAGTGCTGCCTACCATATAACACACCAATTCAGACCTTCTTGGTCACCCCGTGCCCTTACAAATCTCAACGTTCATCCTACAAAGTCCCATCACAAAGGAGAAACACAAACAAATAGGCAATTGTGTTTGCTCGTATTGAGACGGCTGTACGCCGTATGGACCTGAAAACTCAATTTCCCTGCACAAGAATACGGGGTAAACCTTATGGGTTGACAGCTTTGCCATCTAGGCCCCGTGGGCCCTCACGTCTCGCCTGAACGCCACCCCAAATGTGCATCCACTGCTGGACGAAGGCCTCCCTGCACCATGTCACTGTTGACGGTTGTTTGACCGTTCTTCATCGCGTTGATCAGTACCGATTGGCAAAAGGTGGGGTCGGAGGACCAGTTCAGTTATCGTTGTCTACTGACTTAGCCATGCCCAGGAACGTAACCTTCACATTGTCACGTACCATCGCTGTAATATTAGTCATATTCCTTTGGGTTTTAACCGACTTGTTCCATATTTAGTTTACATATATACACTGCAAATCTATCGCATTGCATAATAGTAAATATCATGAAATGCGCGAGTACTTTAATGCAGCTCAAGACAGTTGATTAATCACAAAATAATTTTCAACTTAAATTGTTTGCTTAGTCGAGAAATGTGCGTCGTAGGGCAGGTCCTATGTGTGTTGAAAGGGCTTGCAGTGGTAATCCTATCCTGCCGGCGCCTCGCTGGTGATTCATTACGCCGGGGGCGTACACCCGTTTGTTTCTAGGCATTATGCTCTCTACGATACTTGCCGCGTTGATGGAAGAGACCAACATTGCACGTCCCCTCCTTTCACGCTCTCGGATCAGCCTCGGCTCTGACCTCAAGTGAGCCGGCTCAGAGCCACCCCCATAATCTGAGCCGGCTCCGAGCGGTGCGAAAGAAGTTTAACATACAAGCCTGAGCTGAGCCTGAGCATTGGCGACCGAGCCAGAGCCGAGCAGGTGACTCAGAATAGGGCTCTTGTTCTTGTCTCCACAGATTTGTTGGTGGGGGCTTTTGGAGTGTCCAAGGCCGTGCTGTACAGGTAAAGCAGCGCTCTGCTCGTTCACCTCGTGCCCCCAAACACCCTCCGTGGACCCCCATGCAGTCGACCGGCAACCCGTTCTGGGGACCACTTCCCAAGGCCACGGCCGTCCATAGCGGGGAACGAGGGCCTGGGGCAATCCCAACCGCGTGGGCTCCCCCCGACGCCTTAAAACTAAACCAGAAGCATTGCATCGAACAGCGTGATGTCGAAGAGTTGGGCCCCCTAAAGCGAGGGGCCCGGGGCAGCCGCCCCGATTCGCCGTACCCCTACGGACGGCTCTGCTCACGGCTCTGCGGAGCGCCAGTGGCCCGCAGGCCACAGGTTGGTAACCACTGGTATAGAGGGTGCATGGTGAGGAGTACAATGTTCACGTTCTGAATAGTAATGTTCATGAAGAGCTTACTTAGCCTGAGCACAGCAGCCCGTGTAGAGGGAATATTTCCGTAGTCCTAAAAGACAAGGATCAGGAGGCAATCGTGGACGGTGTAGAGTTGCGTAATGCCAGCGTAAGATTCACAAGTTACTCAGGGATGAGTTGGTGTCGTATCGGGCGAGTTTATTTTTTGTTTAAGAAACAAGCAGGGTGTCATTTGCCAGAGTGATCTGGGCTACGACAGTAACCAAAAAAAGACATGAAATCAACTGCAGCGATAAAGCAAATGCAGGGTCGGGTTGGGTCCTACGGGGAGTTATCGATGCGGCTGGAGAGGTAGGACGGTGGGAGTTGTGTGCTCTTCCCTGCTGATTACTCGCCCTCTTGGTGGAGGCTGCGAGAGGCGGGGAGCGAGCGAGCGAGTGAGCAGGGACGTCCACGGACGTGCTGGAGGCTGACGGTCGCCTCCGTGCCCCCCGCAGGGCCCGGCCGGTCGTGATCCTGGACGTGGAGCTGCAGCTGCTGCCGCAGATGATCAACACCGAGAGCAAGGACTGCAAGATGCCCGGCTCGGGTGCCCCTGTGTCATGGTGAGCGTGCACCAGATTTCACAACAATGATGACGACGACAAGGGAGGCTTGAGAATCGGTGAGGCTTTCTTGGGTGAACGAGCGTAATCGAGATGTTCAGTTCATTTCGATTCGTTGTACAGATGAAGACAATAATGTTGATGATGATGTTGATTCGTTATGCAGATGATGATGTTGCCGATGATCCCGTTTAGCCAGTTGCCCGGCTATTTACCGCGGGAGATCCATGGTTGTGCGTGAGCACCGCAACAACAACAACACACACAGACAAAAAACATCGACATTGCAGAGAACGAGTGCAGCGGGGTGCTTAAGGAATACTGCGCAACGAACAAACGTATTATTTGTTTTTGGCCACCCATCGAACAAAGACGGTCACCGCATCGCGCACTTTCAGATGCGCTTCTGCGGCCGTCTGGAACGCTCTTCCTTAGGAAGCCGCCGGAGCTGTGCACTTTCAAATCGAGATTGAAAAACTCATTTCTTTAGAACAGCTTTTTGTGCTTAGGCTGTTGTCCTTCCCAACTCCGATCAGCACGGTTGGCTCCGTACGGCGCGAAAGAAGTTCTCAACATCCGTAGCAGTAATTATAAATAAAGCAACTTTTTACCCCCCCCCCCCCACCTGTGTACGTATGCCTGACGCACCCCCCCCCCCCCCCCAGAATCCTATAGAACGGCCGATATTTAATCCACGCAGAAACGATCAAGGATGAATAATATTGACGTGTTTAAGCAAACAGTCCACCGCCGGACGATCTAACTCATTTGTAGGCCAATGGAGACAAGTTATTATTGAGGCTTCACCGCCCCCCCCCCCCCCCCGTTTCCTATGCGTACATTGTCAGTAGACCCCCCATACGCAAGCGTACGAATTTGGGTTATCCCCACTCCCCACTCCATGCGTACATACTAAAGGATGGCCCCCTGCTGTAATAGCGCGACACGTTGGGGGGGGGGGGGGGGGTTGGGTGAAGGACGCCCCTAGCGGCTGCAGTGAGATGCAGCTGCTGCGATTGCATCCTCCCGTCGTGGCAACAACACATGTTGCGATGGCGCTTTGAGCGCAGCCAGATGTTGGTTGTTGGCAGAAGGGCACCGCCGTTATTTTCAGCAAGCAGAAAAAACGACAAAATAAACCAAGACCCGAAACAGGAGGAGGAGGATTTCTCCACGAGGCCATCGCCTGATGAGGCTGGCTGTTGTTGTTGCTGTTGTTCTAATTACGGGCGAAACGTCACGGCACTCGAATTGTAAATGTTGTGGTTTTACTCTCCAACACGCAACCGGTTAGTGCTGAACTAGTAACGAACTGGCACGTCTTGCTCACGAGACAAACCTTACTCACTCGCTGTGTCGGCTGGTGGGGAGTTTAACGACGCGTTCATATTTACGCGACCTGACCTCTGTCAGGGAGAATATTGGTCGCGAAAGCCTTCGCGTCAAACTCGGCATGAATTCCGTCGACTTGACTCGCTATCGCAACGCCCGAAGCTGCGTGCGGCGACGCGTTCGTCAACGCGAGCGGTGTGGGAAGCCGGGAAGCCGGATTTGCGCCGGTGTTCGTCATTGCTTTGTCCAGCTTCCCTCTCATTACCTCTCTGTGTGTGTGCGTGTGTGGTGTTCACTCTGTTGCAGCTTCACAGTCAAGGTCTGTCTCTCAGCGGTTGGCAAAAGTGTTCCTGCAACAATGGGTGAGGAAGGCGGCGGGCGTGCGAGCGCATTACTCGCAGAGCGCGGCTTCGTAATGCCAGCTGGACATTCCGATGCAGGGACGCTGAGATTTAAAGAAAAACGCGTTAAATTGGTTTCTGGCTGAAATGAGCACGAGGCAGCACTCATTACTGGAAATTCCACATTCCCACGACAGCAGTCGGTCGATCCACAGGACAGCAGCCACTGTTGCCTTTCCACATTAAATCCAAATGATAATCTTCAACACCAAAGCCTAAAACATGCAAATATACCACACTTAAGTTATTTGGAATATACAAAGGTGACACACCTTGCCCCAAAGAGGATCCTGATGGCTTCGTCGTGCTCACAGCGTTCGCTCGGCGTCACTGTCGACCTCAGGCAATGCATTTTCAAACATAACCCAACGGGACATTCTGACCACATTTGTCAACCACCGTTATCTGCTGTTCACATCCAAACCAACGAGGCCCACTCGGAGAAGGGCAATTCCATTCCCATAGTTTCCACTGCCGCTGACACTCGCGCAGCCACCACGGAGATCCCGCAACGCTAAGAGAATAAATGGTTTGCGTCTCGCAGGAACCCAACCCGAAGAGTGACAGTGGCTTTACTGCCTCTCAGTGACCTGGGAAATATGATAATTATTACTACGCTTGTACACCCAGCAAAGCCTCACTAAGTATCTTTTTCAGGAGCGCCCTACCAAGTTTTCGCAGTAGGGGGTGATGTTGCTATGAGTGTGATCCTAATTGAGTAATTTGCAGGTCATTTTGTCAGCATTGGGATGTTTTGGTCAATACCAATTGCGTAGTTTTTGTTTTGTTAATGCAGCCAGCCATCGACGGGGCATGCAAGAGGGCTCCACACGTGTTACCATGCCAACCGTCAACTCCCCTCCACCAACTCGCTTGCAACTTCTCTATTCTTCGCGATGTGAAACGGCCAACATCGAATCACCACCTCGGTGCATAACGAGAGGCTCTGGCCTGCAGGGCTCGACGCTGTGTCGGAGCCGATCACCCACGTGACCCAAAATGCCGCCCCCCGCGCCCCAAGAAGGTGCCAAGATGCGTCGCAGGCAATGTGCTTCTCAGAACTCTGGCCCCTTCAATGGGGCCCTCTTTCCTGCTGCTGATCGAGCCAGGCCGAGGGGACACCATCGTGAGCGTGACCCAGCTATTGGCAGCTGTGACCTCAATTTAACGACAAGCTGACACGGAGGATGTGAGCCAGGCCATCGACAGTGAGGCAGTGTTCCCGTCCTTTCTCACACTTCCCTTCTCAGCAATGCACAGAATAACACGGGTGGTACGAGCAAGAGCAGAAACAGCATTGTAACGTGTGTGCATTGCGCTCAGTGGTAGTGTTGCAAATCAAGAATGGATGATAAAAAATATCTCGAGTTGGAGGAAAGGAGATCGATTAAAATGTATTCATCGGGTTACATCTTGTGCTGCAACAGCCTTGATGTTGATCATTTCGGCGCAGTGTCGCGTCATACGAAGTTAGGATGCAGGTGGACGTTGACCCCGAGGTCAAGTGAGAAGAGTTGCGATCGCCATAGCAACGCAACATTTCCTGACGAGCCGCGTGTGTCCACCCGCGTTGGGAAGACAAGATGCACATGACCGTACAGCGTTTGTCAACAAATCCACAGCGTTGCTCCCTCCGTTCCCCCGCTGTGACGGAGCCGTCAGAAATATTATTTGTTGTAAAACAAACGAGAGAGACGCCTGCTTATTGCAGGGTTCGCCTTCTCAGGTGGGCTTCGTGGAAATGTTTATTTTTCGATTTTGTTTAAAGTCGTGTTCATTACTTTTAACTTTCAAACAGGCGCGTGCTTTCAAAACTATTCTTTTTTACCGTCACAGGTCGCTTAATATCCATTTCACAAACTTTAACTGGCAAATTGTCACTGTGGTTTGGAACGCATCACTCGCGATCAGAAGGCTGCAAGTTAGGAAAACAATCACGGTGATAACTGCAGTGAGTGTTTTCCTTGCCTTTTTTGTAGGTCAATCAAGTTTTACTTTTGAAACATATCCAGGTTCTTCGTATACACCTCAGCCATGCTGGCGTTAGCATTGCAGCAATGTTCTTGCGACCAAACCCATCCAAGCAAACGTTGCCTTACACGCAAGCGCTGTCAATCGGAGCGTGTGCTGCACGTGCAACAAAACACATTTCAAACGGGGCTTCAAGAAAGTTGCAAACTGCACTCACACGGGCACGTTGGCTCCACGTTGGAGTCCATGTTAAATGGCAATGCGTGGACACAAACACTACTTTTTTCCAAGAGGCAATGTTTTAATCCGCTATGCAGGTGGGTGATTGCTCGTGTAATGCTGTAGAATATACTGCCTCCAGACTGGGACTGGGCTGAATTAACGTTAGACCACGTTTTTTGTGAATTGTTGTGGCCTGCCAAGTCGTTTGAGACTGGGCCAATGCCATGAATTATATTGACGTGGGCATTAATGCCACCCACCGCAACAGCGAAACTTCAATATTGATTAATCATATATTTTTTCCCCACAATACCACATCTGCTTTTCGTAAAACATAACACCGCCTCGTGTAAATTGTTTACTCGCTGATTATGAGAGCAATGGCAGCGTTGACGGCAGCTGCAGGTGAAGTTTTCTGGCTCAAAGCTACAGCCCTGGCCTCTGGCTCAGCTCACATCTCCAGTTTTTGTGTTGTCATTGAGACAGCAGTTTGGCGCCGAGTGGTTACACTCGCGCCCTACGTTTAGAAGCACCCCGGTTCGATTCCCGACTCAGGCCCTTTTCTGTCCGCAGTTTGTATGTTCTCTCTCCCTGTTCCACATGGGTTTCCAACGGGTTCTCCACTTTCCTCCCATCGCTCGAAAAAAGATGAAAACCATTGTAACTGATATCCGTCAAAGCATCCCAACGTAATACATTATCTTCATATGACTCGATTGGGACGACACACAGCAACAACATCGAAACACTTGGCAGGACCCTCCTGAAAAGATTTGTGAGATTTGTACGTATGTTGAACTTCTTTCGCACCGTACGTAGCCAACCGTGCTAATCGGTGCGAGGTAAGGCCAACAAACTAAATACAAAATGCAGTTCTAAAGAAATACGGCTTTTCAATCTAGATGATTTAAAATTGCATTGCATCAGTGGCTTCCTAATATCGGAAGGAACAGCGTTCCAGACGGCCGCAGGAGCGCATCTGAAAGCGCGCGATGTCTAAGCCAAAATATTTACTCAGCACTAGCAAACCACGGTCTGTGTGTTGTGTCGCTTCCGCTGCCCTGGGCAGAGGTAGATTTCCAGGTGCAGCTCGACCGGCTGAAGCTGAAGGGCTCGGGGCGACGGGCCCTCTTCCTGCTGTCCCAGACGTCGCTTCACGAGCAACGGCTCAGCCTGGCCAACCGGGCCCGGCCGCACTGCGTGGCCCTGCTCGCCTTTCTCAGGGTAAGTGCCCCCCAAACCCCCACCCGCACCCCCCCCCCCCAATACCCCCCCCTCAATACCCCCCCACCCGCCCCTTGGCCAATAGCGACGCCGTGGCCCAGCGGTGGCCGCGTTCACAGAGGTTCGCGGCTCGAAAGCAGCAGGCCACCCTGGTTAATACTGATATTCTCACGGTGATGTGTTCAATGCTACACCCATGTAGAATGGTAGCAGTGCAGGATGGGGCGGGTTTTCCCTTTAGACTTGCCTCCGTAAGCATTCTGCTACTGGGGTGTTCGTGATAAAAAGTTATTTTTTGGTATATCGTGTAAATATCAAAGCGTCGTGAACCCACCATGTAGGCTCACCTTTACTCTATTTAACACCCGAAAACAGGAAGGTTTCTTCACAATTCTGGCAATCGCCTGATGAAGCTGGTTGTAATCATCAGCGCAAACGTCGCATTCGAACTGTAAAAGTTGTGGGTTTACTCTCCGACACTCCGGTGTGTCGAACTCGTAACTAATTGGCACGTTTTGTCTATTTGACAAACCTCACTAATTGGCTGTGTCAGGTGGTGGCGGGTTAAGGACACGTTTATATTTACGCGATCTAACACACAAAAAACGTTATTATAATAATATTGATCGCGAAGGCCTACGTGTTAAACTGTGAAATCAACTATCTACAACGTTACAAACTCATTGGTAAATGAGTATTCTTGGTTCTTTCGGTAAAGTCACGTAGAAGGGAAATAATAAATAATAGAAATATAATATAATAAAATACAATTCTCACGAACCGCCGATAAAGCGTCGATGCAGTCGGTAAATACTGCAGATGTATCACCTGTCCAAATTGCACATCGTTTCCAAACGAGGCACATTGAGGCCATGCCGCTGACAAATGCGCACTGCTGTGAGTAATGGCGTGAGGCTTTGCGATGTCTAATTATCAGCAGATGGCCCATTATAGTACAGCGATGGGATAACCCTGCTCAACGTCCTCCCACTGTGCGCTGCACTAACCGCCGCCAACGCTGTGACGGTCGATTAGCCGTCAGAGCATTTGTAATTTGTAGATCACGCGTGGTACTTTTACACGGGACGATAAGCCACTTCGTTCAGCTATCACAGGGGTCGGGAACCTTTTGACTGGGAGAGCCATAAAAGCCAAATATTTCTAAATATATTTCATTGAGAGCCATATAGTATTTTAACGTATAATAATTAAATATGTCTTACTTTTATGCGACTTCTGGTGCTGCATGGTTTGCTGATGGCCTTGTAGTCTGGTTCATACGTGGTGAGGTTGAGCTTCATGCAGGCGTGACCAGTGAAATGTATCTTCAAAACTAATTTCTGTTTACTTAAAATGACACCGTATTATTAAGCAATATCACAAGTATTTTAAAATCAGTTCCAAACAGATTTATTTATTTATTTATTTTCAACTCTAAATTGTCTGGGAGCCATATGCCGTCACTGGAAGAGCCATATATGGCTCGCGAGCCATAGGTTCCCGACCGCTGAGCTATCATATGTGGCCCTGTCGCTCCTGATAAAGAAGCTAATAGCTCAGTGGCTTTGCCTGGTAAAATAACAAGTCTTGTTGTTGATTTTTTCACATTTCCTACACTTTGCACTCCTCTCGTGTTTTTGTAATGTTTGTTGTAGTAACCTTACGACCCACCCCTCATGGGCATCTGTGTAAAAGATTTATTATCGCTCATCGGATTTCTCCTGGATAATAAAAATTCAGATTTTGTCATGCAAACGTCAATTTCCAAAGATTCCTTGCTCTGCGGTGATGCGTGTTGATATCAGAGTAATATCTGCCACTTCAGTGTAAGGCTTTAATGACAAAAATAATTGGCCCTCCACATATTTTTGTAATTAAGAGTCGTACTAATTCATGCACTCATTAAGAAATGTCACCTTACTCTGTTGTCATTGAAGGTATTTAACACAATGGCTGTGAGTGAGACACTGAGCGAGCCACTGGCTGTGCCGCAGGGCGAGTCGGAGTTCCGTGACAAGCTCACGCCAATCTCCGTGGGCCTCAACCTCAGCCTGGATGAGCAGGCGAGGCGGGGCCCTCACGGCCTCCACCCCGTCCTCCACCCCTACAGCCCGCAGCACGTCAGCAAGCAGGTGCAGCTCACGAATGCTCACCAGCGAGCTCGGCCCCACTCTCTCCTTCCCCATGCAGGCCCCTTTATGGAGGGCCTCTGGGCCACAAACTCCCAGCAACAGCAAGCAATCCCCCACACTTTGACGACCATCATCATCTCCCGTCTGTTGCAGACACACGGCAGTCTAGACTCTCATTCAGCATGATTAGCTGCGTATGGTGCGAAAGAAGTTCAACATACATACATTTAAACTTGTGAAATGGGCCCTCCGGTTTCTGTTTTCCAAAGTGAGCAGCCATTAAGTAGATAGACGACGCTGTTGACGGGTTTCCAGTTCGCATCCCGCTTTGGGGGGATTGAGGGTCAACTCAGCTTCATCGTCATCCCTCTGGGACAATAAAATTGTTGCTACTTTGTGGGACATCAATAGCGGTCCATCCTATGGAGTGCTTCACCCCACAGTTTTAATTCAGTTGACCTTGGTTTTGGTATCCTATGTGGTTTATTGCGAGGTGCAAAAATATATATACAATTGCTCAGCTGTTGTCTTGTACAGCGTTGTGAGATGCAGCTTTGCATGAACGATGCTATATTACAATTCAACTATTGTACCATGGGAATGTGGGAATTTCCACAGTGAAGCTCGGAATTGCTGGTGGAGATGAACGCCACTCTGATGCTCATTCTAACACTAAGTTTGAAAAACTGAATGGAGCGGTTGTTAGCCTGCTCAGCGTTGCCTGTCTGTCCTCACTCAATTTAGAGTGACGTAGCTTTGTACAACGCCAATGGGGCATTGTAAGTAATCGTTGTTTTGTTGAGTTCTCTGACACGCGCAAGACCCAATTAAACAGAATGGGATGAAGCACCTGAGGCCCATAATGACGTCTAACATCCCTGCCTCGTCTCCCCATCAACACACACGCACAGTTAGCAACATTTCCCTCCGTCGTGTTGCCTTTAAAATTGATGATTGGTTTGTGACGACGATGATGATGACAGTGATGATGTTTGTCTCCTCCTCAGGCCTACATCTTGCTTGACTGTGGTGAGGACAATGTCTGCATCCCCAAGCTGAAGCTCTCGGTCACGTGGTGCGCTCACGCACTCACAGCCACACGCACGCACAACCACACTCACAGCCACACACTCTCTAGCCACACGCACAAACAACCATACACACAGCCACACACACTCACAGCCACACGCACACACAGCCACACACACAGGCCACACACGCTCTAAGCCACACACACAGCCACACACGCTCTCAGCCACACGCTCTCAGCCACACGCACACACAGCCACACACACAGCCACACACGCTCTCAGCTACACACACAGCCACACACGCTCTCAGCCACACGCTCTCAGCCACACGCACACACAGCCACACTCACAGCCACACACACTCTCAGCCACACGCACGCACAGCCACACACACAGCCACACACACTCACAGCTACACGCACACACAGCCACACACACAGCCACACACGCTCTCAGCCACACTCACATCCACACACGCTCTCAGCCACATACACAGGCCACACACACTCACAGCCACACACACACACCGCCACACACACACACAACCACACACACAGCCACACACACTCTCAGCCACAACGCACGCACAGCCACACTCACATGCTCCTTCGGGCCACCCAAGTTCACTTTCCTTAGTGGTGATCACTGATACGGTGGCCCTCTACATGCCAGCTCTACGGGACCCCCTCATCCAAGAGGAGCTTGAGCCAGGCCTGATGCCAACACCAGACAGTCAAACTCCTCTCATCTATCGATCGTTTCCCCAACAGTGGATCGTCCACGAGGGTTGACAGATCTGCTATGCCAGAGTCGGCAACCAAAATAACAAGAAAGCCATTTTTTTTCGAATTCGGTTAAAACAACCCAATATCTCAAGAGCTGCAATGCACGTGAATACGAGACGGAGGTCTCCTTGCTAAGTCACGTGTCACGAAGCGGCCCTTCAAGAGCCGCGTGCAGCTCCAGAGCGCAGGTTTGCCGACCCCTGCGCTGTGCCGTTACCATGAGGCTCCGACCATCATACATGTCCGACACGTGTTGTGAGACGGACGTCGCCCTACCAGACAGTGACACCACATTTCAAATCAATCGTGGCCCACGGATCATCCCCGATGTTCCGAGGGGTGAACTTTTCTTTTCACGTCCATTTCTCCCCCTTCCTCTACACTCACAGACAAAAAGGAGATCTCATGCAGGAGATTGTGTGTTCAATCGATGCCATAAAAGTTGGGATTGAAAAATAAAGTCGAGCAAGTCAGCACAATTTTTATATACACTTTCTAAAATATGCTCAGCATGTGTTGGAGCAACACATGAAATCAGTAAATCACCACGGGTTACAGAGAAAGAGGTTCTGGAGAGAAAATTCTGCTTGAAAAAGTGCAAATTCCTAAAGCCACGTGTGACCCGGTGGATGTCAGAGACGAATGCATCCTCAGAGTCTAGTCCAGCTTGCAGCTACCATGCAGTCCACTCGGAAGCTGAGGCTCTTCCCACTGTAGCTATGGAGGACTGAGGCGGCAGGAGATTTGTTATAGGGCGGCAGAGTGCTGACACTCACGCCTCGCAACAAGAACGGCCAGCGTTTGGTTCCCGACTCGGGCAGCCTTCCGTGTGGAGTCTGTACGTGCTCCCCCTGTACTACACGGGTTTCCTCCGGGTTGTCCGGGTTCCTCGCATAGCTAAGACAATACACAGCGTGTGACTGGGGGTTGGCTAAACATCCCGATGCTGATCAATTGCCCGCAAATGACACAAGCAGAGTCACAACATTGCCCCCTACTGCGGGACACTCTTGAAAAATAGCGTTGAGACTCCTGAGTGAGGCTTTCCTGGTGACACAAGTGGAACGATAATAATACAATTGTTTAACGCATAGACTTTCGTGACCAATATTATCTATGATAAAAAAAAATGGGTTATATCGCGTAAATACGAATGTGTCGTTAAACCCGCCAACACCCAACACAGCCAATTAGTAAGATTTGTCACGTAAACAAAACGTGCCAGTTAGTTACTACTTCAGCACACCGCTTGTGTGTTGGAAACTCCACAACATTATCATTTGAGTTCACGACGTTCTGCTGGTTATTGACTGTGTCGGGTGGTGGTGGGTTTACCAACACATTTATAACTATGCGATCTAACCCCCCCAAAAACAACCCCCTTTATTATCAATAATAAAATAACAACAATGATCAGATTCCCCATGAAGAGCCTTTGCCCCACCCGTCTGTGTAAGGGCACCTGGCTGACCGCTCGCAGTCCCCTACGTAAGTGGGGCAGCGAGCCCATTTATCTCCCTCGCCCCCAGCCCGTGAGCTCCATGTGCCGGGGCTTCCACACGCGGAATTTATGTATTTATGTGCCCCCCCCCACCTCCATTGCCGCTGCTCACACTCCATCCCCGAAAGGGGCACCTGGGCCGTCTGCGATGGTTTCTGAGCGAGTTTCCGTGCCCCCCCCCAGGGACCGCAAGGCGCTGCTGGTGGGGGAGGAGAACCTGGTGACGCTGGCGCTCGTGGCACGGAACGCGGGCGAGGGCGCCTACGAGGCGGAGCTCGTCCTCGTGCTGCCCCCCGAGGCCGACTACGTGGGCATCGTCCGCAACGAGGTGAGGCCCCCACCTCCCCTTCCCTCGCTTCCCCTCCGCCCTGCCCCCTCCCCTCGGCCCCCTCCCCTCCACCCCCCCCCCCTCGCCCCCCCGACTTGTACATGCGGCGCCCACCTCGTGGCCACGGCTCGTCACGGGAGGGCCTTGCTGATCGACGTCTCACCAGACGTAGATTTGCAAACTTCCACATGGGGGGGGGGGGGGGGGTTGGGTGGACCTGAAATGAAGTTTTTTTTTTTTTAAACAGGCCTCTACGTTAATAAAAAAAAACGTATTTTCTCTGGCAATGTCAACTCATTTTTGTGGCAATCATCTCCATCGCCCGCCCCGGTCCCACCCCTTCACTTGGAGCCACCACTACGGTTTCACATTAATCTTCTCTTGCTGTTGCTAGCAGGTGATAACAATGTGGGATTTTTACTTAAAGCTTTCGTGACTGCAGGAATTCAAATTCATAATTAATTTTAACCTATCTACGTGATTCATTATAAAAATTGCAAATTTTCCGATGATGCTGGATGTAATTACCAGCGAAACGTCGTACTCAAAAATTGTAAATGTTGTGGATTCACTCAACACACCGGCGGCGGGCTAAAGTAGTGAACTATTTGTCTTTTGTCAACGTGACACTTTTTACTGATTGGCCGTGTCGGGTGGTGGAGGGTTGCCACACATCTATAAATAACGCGATCTAACCCAAAAACCTTTATTATGAATAATATTGGTCGTGAAAGCCTGCTACGTGTTAAACTATCTACGTGACTTTACCGAAGACACAAAGAAAATGTTGGATTTGTAACGGCCACAGTTTTTTGTTCGCTGTCGGTGACAGTGAGAGAGACAATGATTCAGAGACGTAGGAAACTACAACAGTTGCCCCAGCTATGTGATCTTCTGTTGGGATGTTTGGCCAACAGTCTGTTGTGAAGAGTGCGAGGACACGCAGTGACATCCAGTCTCATTTGTTTAACCCGAGGGAAGTCTGTGGAGATTCATTACCACTTCTGTAAGGAAAATTGGAATGCATGAAACTATAATAGAACAGTTATAATAATAATTACATTACGGTAACTATTGTTGAAACGGTTTTGTTACCTCGCATTTGTCAATGTGTTTGCAAGTTGTTTATTTGGATTTGGGCCGATACTGAAAGAAGATCGCACACACGGACAGATGACGGCACAGGTCTTTAAAGTCCACTCTGCTGAAGACTCGCGTCGGTCATTCCCCGTACAAATTGCCGTATGACTGGGGTCGCCAAATGCGTGTTTACACCGGCAAGAATTGAACGAAATAACGACTGAGCATCTGTTTACCGCTGGTGAAGCAAAGCACCAAAACAGAGATGTGTTTTGCCCGTTTTGCGAAGCTGTGAATCTTGCCTGTTTGCTTTCATGAATTTAAGCGCAATGTCGCTTTGCGTGTCTCTCCGTCGATGCACTGATTCGTTGTTCAAGACTTTCGTATTAATTTGAGACGTTAGAAAATCATCAAGATCACGAGCTTAACCCACGCATTGTCCAGTGTCGCTTTTCGTCCAATTGTTGGCAAAATTCCCAGGATTTTTCCACGACCAATAATCCGGTGATGTGGTCTGGTTATTTTCGTCAAGGTGTCTGTCTGACCCAATTTCCTTTAAAAGAACAAATTTGACATCGAGGTAAATTCAATCAGTTGCTCTAAAAACGAATGCTGCGCAAAACCATAATTAACGCAAATAAACATTATACGGGCATCAAGAGCGATGACGAAGCAAGACATCGCATCGTAACATATTGGGCTGATGCACGTGCAAGTTTATTGTAAAAATTATTTACTCAGATTCATTTTAAATGGTTACAGTAACACAACAGTTTTTGAAAAATCTTCCACTACATCAGTAGCCTCATTAAATGCAATGTGCTAGGTTATAATGAGTTATTCTTGTTATATTCTTGGTTCTTTCGGTAAAGTCACGTAGATAGAAAAATGATAATATGTAAAATACAAATAATAGAAATTTAATAAATATATACATTTGTAAATTTAAAATCATAAAAGCAATTTATTATAAAAATATATATAATAAATGTGTTATATATCTACGTGACTTTACCGAAAGAACCAAGAATAGGAATTACTGCAGTCACGAAAGTTTCACGTCTGAGTTATTCTTTCTTATCTGCTCTCCTATGGAGAGGCAGGCAGCCACATGTGCACAGCAGACGTGGCGCTGTGTGCTGTGCTTTGCTGCTGCTCGACAGAGGCAGCAGGGCTCTTGGCGTGGCACGTAAATACCACGATACCCCACTGCAGGGTAATAGGACGTGGAGCTGCCATTTCGTATTTACAGTCGATTTGGCAGCTCACATCAACGGGTGCTGTGGTCCATCATGAACTTCCTGAATCTGGTAACGGAAATATATCTGATTGCGTTTCATGATAATGCAACAAATGTCACTTTGAAGTCCGTGGTTGTGAACAGAAATGCCGCAGGCATCCCTGACGTGCGCTGTTTCTCTTTCTCGGGGTTGCTGGATGTGTAGACCGTTTATTATACCTTTGGATGCATGCACAGAGTTTTGTAAGCATTCTCCCGAACCCAGTGAGAATTCTTAAACCAACGCAAAACAAAAGCAGATCGTGGACCCACTTGCATACGTTGGGTTGTGGTTCTGCTCGCAGAAACTTTTTCATAAAACGACTTCCACTCGAATTATTGATCGGATGCTATGCACCGTTCTGGAGGGCAGATTTGGCAGAACCCGTGGTCCGCCGCCGTAAATTGCCACAAATCGCGATGCAGGGTGGGGCATGTGGCATTCTGACACCAGGGTGAAAACCCCCCGATAGATGTCCAATCAACCGTGCCCCCAACCAACACAAGACAAAGATCCCCCGTATAGCCTGAATAGACTTTTTGGGCCAAGTTTCGTTAGGGAGTAACACCTATGAAGGCCAGCAAGGCACACGAGGGGGTAGGTGGCCAGCACCACGCCCGACCACCTTTGTCTCCCCAGTGGCGATGTTTACACACGTAAGGTACTCATCTGAGGCTGAGTCGACCTAGGGTAGGCCCAGGACCGGTTCAAATAATCATCACCGATGTTGGCCACGGGCGGGATTTGACTTGGGTCGCTGGGTTCGTAAAGCAGCACGCTAACCGCTACACTTCCGCTCCCAAACCGCCACACACACAAACTCACACGTATACATTCGAGTACCTTTGTAGTAGTCAGAAGCGACCTGGCCACAAATGATAGCTCAACGAAGTGGCTTATTATCACGTGGAAATGCATAGCAGCCAAATACTCGAAACGCATTTTTCTAAATGTCGAGGGAAAAACCAGAGGGCCGGGAAAAATATCCATGCGACCACGTGGAGAGACACGCACACTCCAAACATACAGGCATATAGGTTTAGTTCGATCCCACGACCTCTTGTATACCAGGCGAGGTAGTTAACATCTCGCCAACGTGGCGATAATGATTGACTTTACTCAGTGAATGATTGATATCTCGAGCACTTTGGCAACTCTTCTCATTTACAACATTTAAAATGTGATCTCACTGTGCTAGACCAAGACACACATTAAAGTCATAAACCTTGGTATTCAACGAATATGGTACCCAGTAATAAACTGAAGTTTGCCATGATTTCCATGTTGGATCATATAAATTCGAGTGCCCCCTGGTTCGGCTCACACGTGTTCACATTTGTGCACGTTATTGTAAAGATCTTCGAGACGGGCTAAAAAAACAGTTTGAACGAAGAACAGGGCACGTGGTCTGGCAATGATGGCTCTTGTAATAAACCCGAGTATGATTACGTACACAATCCAGATATTTGAGATATCCTGGTTCCTTATTTTCTTTTCAAGTTATTAAACAAAGTCGTTTTATTAAACACAGGCCGAGACAAAAACAAACACACAAATAAGTCAGTCTCTTGGCTGGGAAGTTTTTTTGTGAGGATGAGATCGGAGGGGGGGGGGGGGACCGCAAGAGCGAGAGCTCGCGATGTGGATTGGTGCATGGAGGAGTGGCGAGGGAGCGTGCAGGGAGCACGCTGCCAACGCTGCCACCTCCGCCTCGTTGGTGCTGCGTTGCTCACGAGCGCCGTCGAGATCAGTGACGGGCAACGGCGGACGAGTCGGTGGGCCACGCAAGAGGCCCTCCTTGGGCCTCAGTGACACCGTCGCTCGTGCACTCACCGCGACCCCCGAGCATTACCACAGAGACACCGAGGCCAGGCGATCCACGAGGGGGCTCCACGGGACGCAGATTGCCCACCGCTGGCATAGATGATGGTCACGTCGATCATCAACGTCACGCACTTGCCCGTTTTAGTTGTATGTGGGGTAGTCGAGTGTCGGTGAGCACCCGGTGCTGAGAACTCGGTGAGCTGAGTTGTATTCGAGTCCACGGCTAACATCGGTGGCGATTGAGATCCGTGCCACCGATCCGCCCTGACCAGCACGGTGAAGTATGGACAAACAACGCCCACGACTGAGAGAGCGTGGGGGAGGGCCTTCGTCCAGCTGTGGCGCTGAAGTGCATTCATGATGTGCCACTGTTGCATAATGACGTGCTATTTCTAGCCACGGTATTGTGCTAGGAAACACTGCAGAGGTATCCGGGTGCGTGGTGCTGGGACACGAGGCAAGGCCAGTCACAGCGCTGAGTCAACGCCACTGAGGTCCTGCAGGCAAATCTGAAGCTCCCTCCGGGGATGAGTTGAGATTCCCCACAGCTGTCGCTGATTTGTAACGACGACTACACAAACTAAACCCCTCGGTGCACGGGACGTTGCGCTGAACTTAGCGAAGTTCAGCTTCGGCGGAGATCATTTGGCAGTCACACGGAGCAAGTCGCTGTCCCACTGCCGCCGCCCGGGAGAGGTCACGTGGGGGGGGGGGGGGCTATAATCACGATGAATCGGCTCAAATGTATTCTTATGCCACTGACAACACGACATTAAACGTACATAATAAAAAAATATAGTTTTCTCCAATATATTTTACAACACATTTCACTAGATATTCTACAAAAACAACTAATCACGTTCATCAACATCACTGGTTTACAAGGGGTACATACATAACGGGCGGACAGCTTGGTCAGTGATCCTTCTGGAGTGCAATGGGAGACTGGTCCTGTGAACTGACCTCGGCATGAGACGGCTTCTCAGACGACAAACAGGAAACGAGCTCAAAAGCTGCGGTGATTTGTTATTATTTCTACTTAGAACTCGCAAGGTAACGAATGTCTTCCCATATCTCCAAACCTTACTATCATTTATGACGCTCGGGTCTTGCCAAGTTTGCAGTCGGGTGCGATGTTGCTATTGCTGTGATCCCAATCATGGCCCGATATAAATTGAAAACGAATTGCTTCTTGTGTTTAGTAATAGTAATCGGGTTTTACCCTTTGTCTGGCACCAAAACTGACACCTTTATGCAAGGGATCATGTTTGCAATAACCAAACACAAGCAGTCAAAATGCAAACAAAAAGAGACAACTCTGATAATGATATGATATGTCCGTTTTTGGTGCCAGACAAAATGGTAAAAACCTAGTACTATATCTTGCTACTGGCACAGGAGGTCTCATGATGTAAATTGTTGTGTTTAGTTTGTTGTCCTTCCCCCGCACCTCCGATTAGCACGACTGGCTACTTAGGGTGCGTGCACGTATGTTTTGAACTTCTTTTTCACCGTACGTAGCCAACCATGCTAATCGGCGTGAAAGAAGTTCAACGTGCCTTCAATTGTGTAACTCGCAGGTGATTTGTCAGCATTGAGATGTTTTTCGCCAATACTGTTTACAGTGCCGTGTATGTATATTTAGCTATGGGAGGAAACCAGAGATCCCACAGGAAGCCCAGACAGAACAGGGAGAGAACATGCAATCTCCACGCAGCACAGCATCCCGAGTCGGGAGTCGAGCCCAGGCCCCTCACGCAATGACGTGAGGGAGCCTTGTGTCAGTCTGGTGTAGAACACCGATCCTTGGCCTCGCGATGAACCCTGAAAGTTGCTGCGCTACCTGGTGCACGATGCCTGCAATCGCTGCTGGTGTCCGTTGCACCCGCTAATGGCGGCTAGTGATTGTTGTGATTACAGGGAACCGGATAGCTTCGCTGTTCGTGTAATTTCAATCGAGCCCCGTGCGTTTGGAGCCGATGTTCACATTCCCACAATTTCTGTCGGGAATTGCCAAAGTGCACCACTTCCTGCAAGAATTGAAGGCCCTGTCATGCGGGCAGGCAATTATGTACCAGGGTTGCGGCAAAATCCCCGTAACGAAGTTATGCTCAACTAAAATTGTGATAGAAAATATGTAAATTAAAATTGTTCCGGCTTTTTTAAGTACACTGTATAGCCCGGCTTAGTCCCGTGGCCCTCGCAAAAAAATAATTTTCAGAGCTCTCTCGCCTGGCTCACGAAAAGACAAAGACAGTGTCGAAAAAGACAATCACAAAGATTTAAATGTTGTTTCATGGGACCTCCTTTGCCAGTACCAAAATACGGGAATGAAATGTTATTGCCAAACATATATCAGTCCTCTTTGTCCACCCTCACTGTTCAGTGTCAACAATAGCCGCTCTCTCCGCGAGGACAAAACACGCCGATTGCTCCATTAATGTAATAATCCATCCCTCCCTCCTGCGGGGAAATAAATTTCAGCGGAGTGGTTAACGGAGTCGGCGCGGCTCCGTGTGACCTCCGGGTGTTAACTGCCCTCAGCTCTACGGCGCAGCTGTGCCTGCTGCAAGAGCAGCAGTTTCCTCTCCGTCCAGCCAAATCAGATGGCTCGCATGTTTATCATCCGTCTACTGTGCCCTCGTTTTCAACTAATGTGCCGCTAATGAAACCAAACATGAGCGCACAAGGGACTGCATTCTGTCTGCGCACGCGCACATGTCTAATGTTAGAAAATGAGAAAAACTTTATTAAAATAGATGGGAGGTCATAAAGTGCCAACGTGTATTGCCTAAAACAACTCTGTTCTTGAGACCGAATGGATCTCTAAATCCAATGGTATTTAGTAATGAGGTAGCAGCATTGCTGTATATGATTACATTGTGCATTTAACATTTTTCCCCGTACCACTAACAGGCCAAATACAATTTTAACTGCAGTCATCATCTTAGCCAGACTGAACTTTTCACAGCCTGCCTGATTTAGGCCACTATAAAGTAATTGTAAGAGCTTGAGATATGTGTTTTCGCAGAAAATAAAAGTTTAAATAGGGGGGGGGGATACAGAATTTATGACGATAGTCTGGCTGAAAAGAGAAAAGACGAGGAATGACTTCCCGCGTGGGAGATGTTCTGCCCTCTCTCGTCTCGCGGCTCTGGCTGCGCGATAAGGGAGACGTGAGCTCCACTTGTGAGGCCGCGTTGCTTACGAGCCTTCGTTTATGTGTAAAAATGACCCTTTTGCACGTTCGTATTAAAAACATGTCCTTTTGACAGTTATTTGGCCGGTGATATTTCAAAAGTGGTCCTGGCATCTGGCGGCCCACAATTACTCGGGGCACGAGCAGAGAACGTCCCTCCAAGACACCCAAGCCGCCTCTCATCGGGAATCCTCCACACTTGGGAACAAATAAACAACCGTCCGCTCGTATGATGTGAACATCGGAGAGTGTGCTTGGGGTTATTACATCCAGTGCTGGGTGCCACTGCTCCACTGGAAGTGTATCATCCACACTAACAGTGCCCCGCCATTTGACTCTTTGTTTTCTCTTGGTTGCTGACCTCAGGGCCGCCACTCCGATGCCCAACGTGTGGCGGAATAAAATAACCTTTAGTAGTCGGTTTTTACCCTTTCAACTGGTACAAAAACTGACACCTTTATACAAGGCATCATGTTTGCAATAACCACAACACAAGCAGTCAAAATGCAAACAAAAAGAAACATAATGATGATATGCATATCATCATTATCATCATCAGAGTTGTTTATGCATATCATCATTATCATCATCAGAGTTGTTTTTTTTGTTTGCATTTTGACTGCTTGTGTTGTGGTTATTGAAAACATGATGCCTTGTATAAAGGTCTCAGTTTTTGTACCAGTTGAAATTAAAAACCTATACTATATTTTGCCACTGGTAAAGGAGGTCTCATAGTGTAAAATAACCTTTGTGAGTTGCAAAGTGTCACACGGCTGCACCGAAGGGTCCGGTGCAGCGTGAAGCGACTGTGAAATAGAGCTTCATAGCTTATCGGGTTCTTCCAGATAAATAAAGATTCTGATTCTCATTCGACTCGCCAAAGGGAAGTGTGTGATTGTTGCTGAGCTGGGTAACTTTTATGCGTTTGTGTTTTCTGTGCGTCTTTTTTGACTTTCCGCTGAATCGTACGTCATGGTGTGTTTGCATTCTAACGCTGTTCCACGATTTCACGTATTGTGTGTATAGTATTCCATGGTTGCTCACGAATTGCCATTCGCGATTTTTGGCTGTCTGGAACTCTACACGACTGCATCGAGTGAGAGAGAGAGATAGAATGTGATGCACAAAGTGATGAGATAGATTGATGAGATAAAGTGATGGGAGAGAATGTGATGTGATAAAGTTATGAGATGTATTATTTAAGTATGTATTTGTTTATTTAGGCCATTATCATTGTCTGTGAAATTTACTATTCGTGAGCATCTCTGGAACATATCCCTCGCGAATAACGAGGGAATGCTGTATGTCGGTGCAATGTGAATGTGCGTGTTGGTATGACTTACTGTTGTACTCGTACGCGTACAAATAAATAACTGGCCACACCCTGCTGATGAGACTCGGAAAGTCGATACCAGTCTGGGTTTTGCAGCTTGAACTAATTTTGACAAAAAACAGTCCTCCTACATTGGTCGATAAACTAAATATGACAAATTTTTCCCCAGTCAAACAGAGCCGTGCGTATTGATACAATAAACAATAATAATGCATGTGCCTGGTGAAAAAAAAAACCAAATCATAAAAAGCAGTTGTATTTCAAACACAACTTGCTGTTAAAACAAACAATTCCCCGAGCATGTGGCGGTGGCGGCGTCGTCTGTAACCCTGCTGCCTGGTCTCCCCCCCACACCCCATCGCCCCCTGACGCCGCACAGTCGCTGACTTTGCTGAGCTGCTCCTACAAGGCTGAGAATGCATCCCGGAGCGTTCTGTGCGACCTGGGCAACCCCATGGCCGGCCAGAGCAGCGTAAGTCTCGCCGCGAGCACGCGTTCGCCCACGGCTCACCTCTGGATTTATCACCTCAGCCTTAATCCCAAGCTCTCCTCCCAATACTCCCACAGCCTTAATCCGCAGCCATCCATCACGCCTCGAACTACTTCCTGCCCTCACACCGAGCCTCGACACCAGACCTTATTTATTTTATTCACAATTTCATGCTCAAATCACTTTCTCGCGGACTCTAATCCCAGCGCTGAATCCCGGGCCTTGACACCAAGTTTTTCCCACCTCGAACTCCCTGCCCTGGTAAGCGATGTGTGCCATTGGAGCAGCAGAATAGACTCGGAGAAGCATTTTTTTATTGTTCCAACGCTTCTTTTACGCTTTTATTTTTCGCCAGAGAGTGGCCGGGTGATTGGCCGCTCGCTGTCACAATCAGATTAACCGTGTTTACTGAACAAAATTCTTTGCTTACTCGATGGATCTCTGCACTCTATATGGGGTGCATCCTACTCTGCTACAGCCATATGTTCCACGTCTCACTGTGCGTGCTCTGCTGGCGTGTAGCAAGGAAATCCGCTATTGACAGCATGTAAAACATTGTTATGGGACTATTCATCACAGTCCTACTGCTCTTTATAGTTTACGCTTCACCAACCCTGCATGCAGCAGGGTGGCGCAGTGGTAACACCCGTGCCTCAGCAAGAAGGCTGGGTTCGATTCCTGACTCGGGTGCCTTTGTGGGGTGTGTGAGTTCTCTCTCCCCCTGTTCTGCACGAGGTTTCTCCGAGTTCTCCAGTTTCCTCCTATAGAAATCAAACATACATTTCGACTGGTGTTGCCCACTCACAACGCTGGTAAAATTATCCGCAAGTTACTCAATTTGGATTGCACACAGCCAGCCAGCCACAACAGCAGTAGCATCGTACAAACTTGGCAGGACCCTCCTGAAACAGAGCCTCGAGTCTCGGGTGAGGCTCCACGTGGCAAGCGAACGTGACGAGTGACGCCGTGATGCAAATGCGATTCACGCCTTGCCCCGCTACAGTAGTTCAGACGCAGTTCAGACGCAGGCGGGGGGGATTGAGCATTCGCCGTTGTCACAGAGGAGGGGAATTGAAGTGCTCCGCCACTGTTCCAGACTCACAGGGACGATGACGAAGGCAAGCCGACCACAGACGAGGAAATAAAACTGAAACTTTTAAGATAATATTTTTTTCAATCCAGGGATTGCTCCACATTTAAGGGTCGGTGGCAAACGTCACTTTGCCAAAGAGCCATCGTACATACAGCATGGGAAGTGTGGCCAATATTCCAGTAAACAACTCGGCAAGTTTCGACTGCTGTGATTTTCACTCACCCGCCCGTGCTGTTTTCGTTTACTAACTCAAGCTCATGGGCATGCTAATTTATCCAGCCCCACCGGTCCCTGCACGCCACAAACTCTCCCCCTCTCCCCCCCGTGAACTCCTGCAGCCACGACTCTACACCCCCCCCCTCCCGTGCCTATTTAAAGCCACAACAGCCGATCATTATTTCTCACCTGATGACGGACGCTTGTGTTTGCGACCGAAACGTCGTGTTATTTTATTATTTTTTCATCTACGTGACTTTACCGAAAGAACGGGAGAGTATGAACAACGGGATTTGAGATGAAAGAGCTCCGGGGGGGGGGGGGGGCGATTTGGCAGCGCGTCATTGCCAGGTCTCCTGCAGCCTCCGTGACGCAGCCACCACTGGGGCTCCTCGTTGGCACCTCGCAGAGACAATACTTCCTGTCCCGAAGAGCGCACTGCCTTGTTCTGTGGGAGACGGAGCCTTCTGCAGCCAGGCGATTGTGGAATCCCTCACTCGGTGGCGAGATGTTAACTAACTCGCCTGGTATGCAGGAGGTCGTGGGCTCCATTCCAACCCTGACGCCTGCTGCATATTTGGAGTTTGCGTGTCTCACTCTCTGTGGTCGTGTGATTTTTCTCTGGGTCCTTTTTCCATCCACATTTAGAATCAACATCACGCGTTAGAGCATTTGGCTGCTACTCGCGTGATGAGCTACTTTGTTGAACTATCATTTGTGGCCAGGTCGCTTCTGAAAAAGAGTGATATAGTTCAGTAGGCGGCCTTACCTGGCTAAATACAAATTTGTTTAAAATTAAAAAGAGATTAGTTTCGTGTCGGTCCATTAGATATTCTAAGTCTGCTTCACTCGTGTTTTAATCACGTCTTAAAACGCACCTATTTGTACAGGCTTTGCCTGTAACTTAAGATTTGAAAACCACGTATTTAATCGCTTTTATCATAGTTTTTATTTAATTTTATACGAATGTCGGGTGTAGTCGTTGATATGGTTATTAACAGCTTTCTAATTCGCTTAGATTCAATCTATACTTGTGAGTAGTTTATCTCTATGTACAGCGCTTTGAGACACTTTAATATGAAAGACGCTTTGTAAAATAGAGGTTATTATCATGATTATTATTCCACCACGCTCGGGCAGTCACAGATGTAGGCTTATCGACAAAAGTTCCTCTCAAGGCCGCATTCAATAGAACATACTTATCGTGATTTTTGCCAAGTTTAATATGCATGTGTGTCTTACATGTTAAATACTAATAATATTAATGTTTGAGATTTCATATAGCGTCGTGGTTCATACAAATTTATCTCACAATCGCTGAGGAACCACAGGGAGCGAGGCAGCCAGGCGGTGAGCCGGTGCAAAAAAAAACGGCCCAAGCTCTGCAGTTCTCTATATATTAGAATTTTCAGCCAGATAATGAGTGTTCATACGTGTGGGAGGAAACCGGAGAGGGCAGCTACTCTATCCCACAATGACATTAGTCCGCACTTTGCTACCAGCGATCCAGGGTACGGCACCCCCTCGATGCCCACAGAAGGGAGTTCGCACCAGTCGTGTCCCACTACCCTCGCTGCTGCCCCACCCAGCGCCGGTAAACGTCTGTGCAGACCCAGCACGGCGCACACGTGAGGAGTGTCACGGTGCGTCGACCCATCGATCGGTAGCGATGCTTAAAACTCAGGATAGCATTCATTGCACCGCGTGTGGAGAACGTCTCTACTTTTCAATGTTGCGCCTATTATATGACGTTGCATTTAGGCTAACGGAATCTGTGCAACATTGAGACAGAAAACTAAATTCAAATGAGAAAGTAAAATCTAGAGACAAAATTTTTGTTAGCAAATCCAGGCCTAGAATGGTGACTTCATCAATTCGCTGGGTGAATTGGTGAACCCCGATTATTTTACTTGCATGCTCTTCAAAAGTGCAGGTGTTTCTGAATAATGGAGACTCTCCCGGAAAGCCAGTCGATTGTCAACGCGGCCCAAAGTTGAGACTTTGAAAACGAAACATGAATTGAGCACGAAATGTTCGTGAAGTGAAGACCACCGGGCGACAAACTAAACTAAACTATTTTTTTTTATTTTACCAGGTAAGGTCCACTCAGCTGTTTTTCAGAAGCGACCTGGCCACAAACGATCACCCAGTGAAGTGGCTTATCGCCACGTGGAAATGTATTGCAGCCAAGTACTCAAAACGCGTGATGTTGATTCTAAATGTGGAGGGGAAAACCGGGGACCCGGAGACAAATCCACAACGGGGGGGGGGGGGGGGGAACACACAAATCCAAAATATACATGCACCGTCAGGGTCAACATCGAACGGCGACCTCCTGCATAGCAGGCGAGGCAGTCAACATCTCCCCAGCCACCGTGGCGCCCCTAACCCCCGCGTCGGACTGAGACGAGGGCACCCGGAGAGGCGCCGCGTGGAGGAGGGGCCACCCGCACGTGGGGCCGTGCCTCTGCTCGCCGTCTCCTCTCTCCACGGGAAATCACAAGCGGCTGCCTCGTGGCAGGAAATTGGCTCGCGGCTGACCCCGCTCAATCGCAGGAGACGTCAATCCCAGAGGCAGGGCCGACATGTAATCGAATGTGCGAGCAATAACGCGGTAATACCTTAATGGCTTCGTTTACAGTAGGACTTATCCCATGTTTACCTAAGGGCCGTCCATAAATGACGTCACGCACCTGGGGGGGGGGGGGTCAGACATTTGTGACGAGGGGGGGGGGTGAGAAATGTGACGTCACATCAAAATGCGCAACTTTAAATAAATATAGACAACACGTTCTACTTAATTAAATAGACTTTTTAATAATGTTTTCTCCTACAACATCAGAGTGCAGCGCCACATTAAATACGCACTACAATGACAATAGTTTAAAGCGATTTGAAGCATGTTTTATATTTGGGGGGGGGGGGGGCAGAGCTTTGTGACATCATATTTGAGGGGGGGGGTCTGGCTTTTTGTGACGCGCCGTGTGACGAAGGAGGGGGGGTCAAAAATCGTCAAAAATCGCGTGACGTCATTTATGGACGGCCCCTAACCGCCGCTACCCTCCTCCCCCCGTGTCCCTTCCCATCGTGCTGCAGATAGCGCTGGGCCTGCGATTCAGCGTCAAGCGGCTGGAGCAAGCGGGGCCCAACGTCACGTTCGAGGTGCACGTCAGGAGGTGGGAGCCATTGTGACGCGCAGCGGAGCACGCGCGTGCTGCGCGCACGTGACCGGACGTGCACGCTGGGAGACACGGGCGGGCAGGGTGGGGGGTGCCCGTTGTTTAAGTGGCCAAGAGCCCGAAAGGTAGCTTGGATATGGGAAGCGTAATTGAATTACACTCACCGAGGTTAAGAACCAGGCGACATTATAGACTGCCAGTTCGCTCGCTGAGGTTAAGAACCAGGCTACAGTCTATATTATAGACTGCCAGTACACTCACCCATATTAATAACCATTGCTAAAGTCTACATTATAGACTGCAAGTACACTCACTCAGGTTAATAACCAGGCTACAGTCTACATTATAGACTGCCAGTACACTCACCCAGCTTTATAACCATTGCTAAAGTCTACATTATAGACTGCCAGTACACTCACTCAGGTTAATAACCAGGCTACAGTATACATTATAGACTGCCAGTACGCTCACCCAGCTTAATAACCAGCCTACAGTCTACATTATAGATGCCAGTACACTCACTCCGATTAAGAACCAGGCTACTGCAGTCGACATTCGCATTTTTTTTCACTTTATTTATTATTATTTTATTCACTTCATTTTGTATTATTATGTTTCTATCTACGTGACTTTACCGAAAGAACCAAATAATATAATTGAATTATTGCAATTCAAATACACAGACGAAAGTACAAAGGTCTCTTTCACAATGGGGGGGGGGGGGGGGAAATCAAATAAACAACATTTTAGCCGCTAAGCCCATGGGTCTTACAAATCTGGTTGTGAGTGTAACTGCTAGATTTAGGTTATGAAATAAAGTCGCAGCTACGTCCTCTCGGGAATGATGCGGGTTCCTAAACATCCGCTTTACTGCACACGGCACGCTTTTAATATTTCTTGTTTGCAGAAATTACAGTGTATTTGTTATTGGTGGGAAACCAGCGGATTTGCTAATGCCCTGAGAAAACGCCACTTCCTTTACATATTGTAAGTTTTGATATGTAGCTGCAGGAGACGATTTTCCAAGCCTCTTTTGGAAATCAAAATGAGTCTGATTTTCGTTGACAATCACACTCGGGGGCTTGCGTTGTTCGGCGACATTCCAGGACTAAATCACGTGGCCCGTCCTGTCGCAAAATAATCACCAAGTCCGTTTTGCAATATAAGTGACGAAATAAGGAGACTGCATCTTCCCATATCTGTCTCTCCACATTAGGAAAGAAAAGTATGGATTTGTTTTCACACATACCTTCAGCCGCACGGCTTTCTGGGAGTGCTGTATTAAATCAATGCTGAAAGAATGCAATCTCAGATGACGGAATCTGTAAATATATGTTCTATATCTTCATGTGGAGAGACATAGAGAAAGGAGGCAGACATTGTGCTTATTGATTTGGCAATACGGTGTACTAAAACTATTTACAATAAATTTTTTACCAGGTTAAGGCCCACTGAGCTATGTAGCTCTTTTTCAGAAGCGATCTGACCACAAATGATAACTCAACGACGTGTCTTGTCACGTGGAAATCTACAGCAGTCATACGCTAAACGCACGTTTATAAACGTTGAGGGAAAAAAACGGAGGACCCGGAGAAAAATCCACGGAACCATGGGGAAGAGAACAGGCAAACTCCAAATATACAGGCATCGTCAGGGTCGGGATCTAACCCATGACCTCCTGTATACCACGCGAGATCATTAACATCTCGCCATTGAAAATACCAATTGCATTTGTAACGCAATGCGGATGACGTCCCGACACACAGAATATTCCTTTTGATATGACTCGAGTTGGCAGCAGAGGAATAACACACTGATTACACTTTTCAGCTGTTAAGCCAAAATACAAAAATAAATGAACCACGTCCACATGGAAGTGTTGTCAGCAGTGGGTACGTTTAACTCGAGACCCTCTCCCGCACGCAGGGCCCTGTTTGTTATTTCTAGCTGCTGGTGCCGCAAGTCTCCAAGCCATAGCCTCCATTCTGTGCTTCGGAATCAAAGTTTCTCGCGGCGGCGGCTCCGTTGTCCTGCGGCTAAATAAACTCGCCACTCGCCACTCACCGCACTCTGAGACATGTTTGATGTTGATGAAGATTGCTAAGTTCACGTGTACACTTTAGATGCTCCCCTTGGTGAGATGTTTTCTCCCTCGTCTGGTATGAAAGATGTGGTGGGTTCGATCACGAGCCGAACGCCTGTATATTTGGAGTGGTCATGTGTATTTTTTCCTGGTTATTTACCTCAACACATTTAGAATCAAAATGCGTTGAGTTTATTTGGCTGCTTAAAATTTCCACATGATAAGCCACTTTTGTTGAGCTATCATTTTTGGTCAGGTCGCTTCTGAAAAATAGAGCTATTACCTCATTGATGCTGAGGCTGCCTAGCAGATGCCCATACCAGCTGCTTTTACACACGATTATCTTTGTTATCTTCGTCACAATATGATACCTACTGCAATGTATTTGCATTGACATTAGCACGAGAGTTACCGGACTCGGCACATAAGTGATGCAGCTTGAATTTTAAATGGTTTCCCTTTAGTTTAAATGTACACGTGTGGAAGATGGAGGCCCAACTTAAGCATCCCGAGGGGGCATCGTTCGGCTCCTTGTGGTGGACTGATGGCCTCGAGGAAATTGAGGTGGAACTGCTCCCAGATTTACACACAGATGAATTCCGCCATTTGTGGGGATTGCATTCGGCTGAATGCATTCCCCACAGAGGGAGGGAGGAGTTAGAATGGAGCTGGGACACGGCCTGAAACTTTGGAGTGACCGTCAGTTTATGGTGTGAGTTTCTCTACGTGAAAATGCCGAATCCTGAACGCGGTGAGAGGCGATTGAGAGGCTCCTCTATTCTGACAAAATGAGTTCTAAATCCCCCCCCCCCCCCCAGAATGAAGTGCGTCACGGCAAAAAGCCATCGATGCAGCCACTGCGGCGATGGTTTTTACGTTGGGCCTTTAGGTGAACATTCCACGGTTGAAGTAGATGGTCGTGGTTTGGGATGGTCGTCCACTGGCCTCACACTGAGCCCGCACACCTCAGACCTCAGTGGTCGATTGTAGCAACAGTTGCAGGATGGCAACTTGTGTTGCTATCAGTGGCATTGGTTGCGATGACCTCGTGACCCTGTCCATGTTTATTTAGATACAAGTCGTAAACGGTAGCGGCCTAGCGTTTGCTGATAGGATCATGCGCTGTGGGAGGTGAATTACCCGGTTCGCTGATGATGGTTGTGTATTTGCCATTGTACAACGTTCCGATGACCCTGCTCAATAAGTGAAAGCAGTCCGCTGTTGTGGCCAACACTTTTTTTTCTTCCCAAAAAGGTTTTTTTGGGTGTTCTCCAGTCATCAACGTGGGCTCGACGAGATGTCTCTGCCTCGTCTCTAAAATAATTTAGAATTCAATCAGTCGGTCAAGCTTCAGTCAACCGTTGGGGTTCATTTCATCTCCTGGTTAAATAACGACGCTTGCGTCCTATCCATGCGTGTTGGTCGCAATGTTTGGTGATGCAGCCGCGTTGGCAGTGGAACACTTAATTAAAATAAATTCGACACATTCGTCAATAATACTTTGGCATTAAAATAAAATAAAAACTATATCATAGGTGACGATTTGGGCAAAGGGCCCCTTCTTCGGAGCTGATCGTGGATGTTTTGAGTTAAATTTTGACTTAAAACTTTCGTGACTGCAGGAATTCACATTCTTTGGTTCTTTCGGTAACGTGGATAGAAAAAATAATAATAAAGTGAATAAAATAAAATAAAATAATAAAAAAAATGTAGGTGTTGAGTTGTTTATATTTATTCGGGAGGGGTGCAGTGGTGCTCCCTGCTGTGGCTTTCCAAGCCTCCTCCCAATTCACTCGCCGGGACTCATGGAAGCACCGAGTCGTTTACGAAGCGCAAGAGCTATTCCGCACGCGCTGCAGCCGCTCCCATCTCTGTAGATTTCATCCCGCAGCTTTGCACGGCCCAGTCCGCACTTTGCAGAATGATTTCCCCGCTTTGCAGAAAGGGTCTGCAAGGAGGCTGTGAGCCGTGTGAATCAGTTGACACGTGTGTGTGTAATGTGTGTGTGTAATGT